CGGCAGCAGGAAGTGTGTCCTGAATGTAACTTTGTAAAAGTTTCCAATGCACCTCAGTCATCTTTTATTATAAGATAATCATAGTTCAAACTCCTGCTTGAACGGCAGCAGGTGATGTGCATCCTTTTAAAGAAGGCTGGCCCTTTAATCATCTCCACTTGTTTTATTTTTCCATTTATTTTCTTGTAATCGAGGTATCTGAGGGGAAAGGGTGGGTACTGTTGGCAGCTGCTACTTTCCTGTGAGTGAGAGGAACAATGTCTGGAAGTGAGTCCGGTCTTTGGAAATGTCCCGTGTTAACAGATCTGTTAGAACCAGCCTGCCGGCCCACTGCGTTCCTCGTTGTTTCACCTACAGAACATCAACGTTCGGCCGCATGCTCCTCTTCATACCGCCAGCAGAACAAATGGCCGGACTGTGTGCAATGGCTTTAGCCTCTGGAGGTGTAGTATTTTCACTCATTCTTCTGAGAAGTGCGTTGCCTGTTTCCCTCCATCCGTTTGTCTTCTTGTTTTCACTGTGGAGGACAATGGGGCGATGAAACAGTTGGGTTCTCCTGAGGGCGGTGCTGTAATGGGTCAGCTCTCTGACGGAGTGTTAGTCAGGTACAAATGAGGTGTTGGAAGCACATCATCTGTGTTTCTGACGCGCTTCTCACCTTCAGGCAGGCAGAGATTCATGTCGAGGATCAGAAATGGTTTTATCAAGCGGTAAAAACATCTGATGCAGCCGGAGGGGGCTCACTCGGGTCTTATCATTTGTTAACAGCACAAAGAATGAACTGAGAAGGGAAATCCCACAAGTGTATTTGTCACAAGTTCTTACTGAGCGAGTTTTAGAGATGATGCCGAGGCAGTGATTCTGAGTTTACAGAGAAACTCCCTGAAGACATTCTGCTGCAGGTTTATCGTTACACGCCAAAAACGTAGCGTTCTCTGCTGCAGTTCGACCATTCGTCTACACAACAGCAGTCGTTTTCTGTGAAACTGAAGCCTTTAAACAACAAAGGCCACGCTCAATAATCCAGGTATACAATCCAACATCTTTCAGTCAGGTCATCTGGACAGTTTATGCTTTTGTGCTGAGACGTTTCGCCTTCCATCCAGAAGGCTTCATCAGTCAAGGAAACGCACAACAACACTGATTCTTCCTCCAACAGCTTACTCCAAAGTGGAACAAACCAGTTCGGCTTGTGATAAGATGGTCTGACCATTTTACAGGTAAAAATGTTATCGCCATGATGGTGATGGCTAATGATGACCAGCTGTGGTGGACACACATCATCACCTGCCTCTCATCACAGCAGGTGATAAATATGCAGTTTGTTCTTTGATGCTCTGTATTTATCATGTAGTTGGCTCTTGTCTCCCACTCCTCTTCAGAGGTCTCCCCCCTCACTCCCCCACCAGCACAGGGAGGGCAGAACATTCGGGGTAACCATGGAAACACAGCAGCGATTATGAGTCAGACGATCCCTTTCGTTTCTGGGCTCGACTGAACAGGATTAAAAGAAGTTCAGACCCCACAGAGCGGGGCTTATGACCCCCCCCCGGCTTTAAGTTTCACTTTAACTCAGAGCTGAAATGAAAAACAGAAAGATTTTAAAATCTCAAACATTTATTAAACTAAAAAGAAAAGTCGAGCCTTGACATTCATGCAACGCTCGATCTCGTGAAGCTGCTGCCGCTCGGAGTACTCCCAGCTACCGCCTAACTAAACTTCAGCTGAGCGTCTGAACAGCTGAATTATAGACACTTTTGTGTTTGCTAGTATGGATTAGCTGTAGCGGCCATCTTGAACCTGGTCGACTTGAATTCATGAGTCGTAGATGAGCATCCAGTGACGGTTTCTGAGAGCTTCAATGAAATCTAAACACAGGTTCGTTAGTTATTTTAAATTGATTAATTTAAAGCTGTTTATTTGTTTTCTAAGGTCAGTCCACTGTGGCGGCCATCTTTAATTGGATTGGTTCCAATAGTTAATCAGTCGTGGATATACTTTTAACGATTACTCCATGAAACTTTTGTTAAAATCTGTCCTGTAGTTCATAATATAATCTGCTAAGAGGCAGAACTGAGCCCAAATATTGAATGAAAAAAACAACAAACTAAAATATTTCACTATCTGTAAACATTCAAATTATGTGTTGGGATCAGTCTCAGCTACTGCACTCTAAAATGCGTTGTGGCTGCCATCTTGAATTGTTTATCTCCATTAATCAATTATAGATGTCCATCCGATGATTAAGGCGGACGTGACTCGGTGTTTAGAGCGGTCGTCCTCTAACGAAAGGGTCGGAGGTTCGATTTCACCAGTTCACTGTCACCTGTCGAAGTGTGGGCTGAACCTCTCGTTGTATCTGATGTGCTGGTGTTTGAATGTGCACTCATTAGTCTCTATAGAAAGATTTATTCACGTTGGCGTGTAGAGATGTCGTAGACTGCTGTATGAATGTGTGTGTGGATGGTGAAGGCACAGGTTGAGTTGTATATCACTTAAAAGGTGCCATGCTATGCTAAATACAGTTAATTTACCATAGCTGTGTAAGTTTCATTAAGATCCTTTATCTGGTTCATGAAACATTTTACTGACAGACAGACACAGAAACTGTCAATTATGATGTCATCATACATTCTGACAAGAGTTACAACATACGACCCGAGGATCAAGTCTCAGGTGGTCTGCTGAGATACAGGCAGCTATAGCGCCTTGATAGAAAAATGAGCAATTATTGGATTTTGTCACTTCCCCTCCCGTTCTCAGGGGTCCCAAACACGGAGCTGCCCACGTGTGGAGCAGAGGGCTGCCATCTCGAGGGAGCAGCTGGATTTTGTCAGAATATGATGCATCTTTTCTATAGGTCCTTGAACAAACTGTTTAAAATATAATCATGAAAAATGTTTTGAAGCACGTTTCTGAGCAGTACCAATGACAAACATTGATTGATTTTGAGCAGAGAGGTTTCCTCTTCCAAATGATATCCAGACATCAATTAATACGTTAAAATGGGATTTATTTCCAGGGGTTATCCAGATTAACAGACAAATCAACCCACATTTCTGGAGCCACTCGTGATATCAGTATGATCCAAGTTTCATAACGTGTAACTTAAAAAAGCAGGAATCTGAAAATGTGCTTTTAGTTTGACCGTATCTGGTTTAACCCCCGACCTGATGCGATGAATCGCACGCTGACTCTTAGGTTTTCCTCTGCAGCTCGTACTGACGGTCTGACATTGTGTTTAAAGATTTGTCTTTATGCCTGTAATAGGAGAATAACTTTTGTTTGTGGCAGAAATTGATCTAGGAACAATATCTCTGATCAATAAGTGCAATAAATATAGTGTTTTGCTTTTTAACTTGTTGTTACATACGGAGACGAAAGCTAAGCGCTGAGACAAAGATAAAAGCGTAAGTGCTCGTCTTAAAGATGATAAAAGCCCAGTGGAGTTTACCTGGAGGTGCGCTAACTCGTCCTCACATTTTCAGGATGGGAACAGCAGACGTGATGCACTTTGATAAGAAGGCGCTGCCGCCCTGACATCCTCACAGCTAGCTAATAGATGGTGGAGTGTACGGTAGCGCTGCCATGGCAACAGAGGCAAAAGATGATTGAGTGATGGCGGTTAGCACTGCCACACCCATCAGCAGAGCAGCCAAACACACGGGGAAACCAGAACGGACTGGGAGTGGGAACCAGGGGGGCATTCACTGATGGAGCTCAACCAACGGGTGTTTTAAGGTCCAACATGTAAACTGTGTCGTATGTGATTTATTTAAACAGCAGCAGCTTTATCCATAAAGTACTTCTGCACACATCTGCAAAAACAGGCCGGTGCGTTTCACTCAAAGTTTTTCTGCTCTGAATTAACAAAAGTAAATAAATAATGTTTGTAAGTTCTTGGAGAAAACTCTAATCCAGCTGATATCTGCCATTTATGAACCCTTCTGATGCAACAAAGTTCAGTCAGGTCCTCTGGACAGGTTCTTCTTGTTGAAATGTTTCGTCTTTCATCCAGAAGACTTCATCAGTCCAAGGAGCCACAACAAACTCAGTCGTATAAATAGCACCTTCGCATAGTGGGTGAACCAGTTTGATGGTGCTCAGATGGTTTCTGGAGTCCGCCCTCTCCCCCGCCGACTCGTTTGGGGCAGTCATGGCCAAAGTGTTTCAAAATATCAAGGTTCATGCTCAATAATCCACCGATGAACCGGCCATCAGCACGCCACCACCATGCTAACAGCTGGGAGGAGTTGTTGCTGCAGTGCATTCTGGGTAAACATGTACACTTTTGTTAGGTTTTGGTTCATCCTTCAAACGAAACTTTGCAAATCAAAGTCATGCTGCCATGTTGTTTTTAGAGAGAAGAGACTTTCTCCTGCACGCATTCTGTACAAGTCTGGACTAATTCCTCTGAGCATTGCACAGTCTGACCTTTGGGGTGACGACGTTCACTCCAGGGCAGATCGACAGCTTTCCTAAATGTTTTCCACTTGTGAGTAATTGTGGCGGCAAACACTTCAGGAGCTGTCTTTGAGCTAGACTAATTACATTGAATCCCCTCGTTCTTCCAGTCAAAGCACCTCTGTAAACATCTGTTCTTATTCATAGTTGGTCAAATAAGAAAGTTTCTGTCTCTGGAGGTTTCAGATGTTAAAGCAACAATGAATCGTAGTAAACTGGTGCAGAAGTTATTTCCATCATTTTAGCATCTTGTTAGATGAGATGACTGAGTTACTCCATGTTAGTGAGTCAAATATCAAAGCCCACATTAAATTAATACTTTGACATGATTTGTTTTATAGTTTCATATGAACAGAAGGTTTTAAGGAGAGCTGAGAGGTCTGTTCTTACTGTTGTCTCCTCATTTGTACTCGGAGCCTCGGGATCTTCACCTCATCTTCTCACTCGCTCACATCTGTCTCCTCTCTTTACGAAGCCCATCTCCTCATTAGACCCCCACCATGCTGCTGCTCTTCAACTGTTCCTCCCTCTTCCAGAGTCGATCTATCGCCGCGGGGCCAGAAGATGGAGGAAACTCTACCGAGCCAACGGACACCTCTTCCAGGCCAAACGCTTTAACAGGGTGAGTCGCAGCTTACTGACGTTTGCTCTCATCCGAGGAGAACACGCAGCAAAGCTTCTGCGGGCGTCAAGGACTCACTAGAAGCTGTTTTTACGGGATTCAATTTGATCTGCACAACCAAGCCCTGAACAGTACTGGAAACCTCATGGACTGTACCAAACACACTAAAATATGCAGGAAACCGTTGACAAAAATAGATGATTAGGGATCAAGGGTATAAAACAAGTGGACCTCGTGAGACCTGAAGTTCTCAAAAGCACAAAATTACGAGTTGCATTAAAATGTTTCTCTTGCAACCAGACATGATGGAATGACGTAACAAATAATTTGCTGAAAAACAAAACGTCCAGTGACCCAGAATATGATAAGTCACTGGTTGCTGTGGTGATTTCCACCTTTTCCTGCCAGACGGAGCAGAAGTACGGACCGAAAAGTAAGCCTCAAACTAAAAGTCTGTCTTAAAAAGTTATAAGTCAAGAGCAGTTTATTCAGGAATGTAAGACTTTGCGGCTCACAGTTCCACAACAATATATACACTTATTGATTCATTACAAGGGCACAAACACAAATAATTATTACCCACAATTTTAAAGGAGGGCGCCCGCCCTGTCAACAGGACCGAGCACCTTCCTGATCTCCAGTACTTCAGGGAACAACACGTAGCCGTATCGTAAAATAAAGACTGCGGACAAAAAGACTTGTGTTCGACGTAATGTTTTTATGCTGTTAGTGTATATTTAGCTGATGTTTTTCTTAGCTCATATCTTAGATGTTATCACTGTTTTACATTTTATTGTGGGATGTAACTGGGACCCTGCGTACACAATCTCGTTCCACCACATGTACCACATGAGATGCGAATGACAAATAAATCTCTGCGACTGTGAAAATGAAGTGGTTCTCATCTTCACCAGCTTCAGCTCCAAGGACAGGTTCATCGTATCAACACAGCTGCTCGTCTCCAGGTATATAACTACACCTGCCACTGTCACCGGCTGGACCATGTGCTGAACATCTTAACAGCATTATAATAATAATGACTCATAGTTATTACTATTAAAGTTATAAATAGTAATACAAAGAAGTTATAGAACTATAAGTGACAGAAGCAGTGATGTAAACACACGTTGTGGAGGAAGGTAAACATGTCTGCAACTTATTTTATGAACTGTATCATTAGTCTAAAAGTTGTGAGACTAAGAAGAGTTTGTTTCCAAGTCTTTAGGAAATTTTAGGAGCCATTCAAATGATAGGTGCAAGTGTTGTCGCCCATGAATGCGTCCATTCATTTGCAGCTATTTAAAGAGCTCGTAGAGCACTTAGGGAATGGGTATCTTGCTCAAGGACACCGTAACATATGGGCATGGATGGGACTTGAACCTGCAACTTTCCAGTCCTAAGACGACTGCCCCACCTCACACAATATCTTTTGTAATGTTTCATCCTGTTTCTGCACTTCCTGAGCTCCTAAATAGGATTTTTTAAAAAAAATCAGGTTCTAAAGTGAAAAACTCTTGAAACTCCACCCTGGTGTTTTCATTTAGACGGCCAACCTTTAGAAAACAATGATGTCATCGCCCCACCTCTAATCTAACCTACGACACAATTGCACACTCTTCTTCTGTTTCTTGTGTTAACGTTATTGTGCAAATCCGACTGTGTTTCCTGTTTTTAGTGTGTTTTTGTGGCAGCGTTACAGCGCCACACACAGGCCTGGCATAGTTACTGCAGTTACCGTTTAATTCTGCACTGATTCTGTTTCTGAGAGTGGGATCATCTTTTCTCGATTACAACCTTAATTTACAGTGTCTGAGGGCTTCACTGGGTAATATTGACTTTGGTCAAGACACAAACATCTTGTTTTGATCAACAGACAGGATATTTTCCATCTCGTTTTTTAATTTTAAGCAGTTTTTTCTACGTGCGCATACACAGATCACTAAACAGACATTTGTCCCGCTCAAATCTGTAATAACTTTTTATTAAAAACTACAAACTTTCCCTAAGGCCCTGTTTACACGCTGCACTTTTAGTGAAACCGAAGCTTTTCTGCCGAGGTTCGGCTGTTCGGATACACAACAGCCCTCATTCTCTCTGAAACTCAAGGTTACTGAATCAAGGTCTCACAGTGGAGGAATTTAAGGAAAAACCGTTGCAGACATGCGCAATACTAGTCTGCAGAAGTGAAGTCGCACATGCACACTTTAGACGGCTGCAGTCCAGATTTTCTACATTAACAACATTTACGATAAATGACAGAGATCAAAGCGTTTTTATTTTGTGCTACTCACCCGTTTTCTGAATGTCGGAGCCAACCAACAACATCCTCGGTCCAAAGGGACGTTCCTGTATTCACCAGTTTGGATGTAACTGTGTTCGTGCAGACACTGCACGCACAATTCATGCTGCTGAGCCTGACTTTAGGGTTGCCAGATAAAGATAATAAAGTGTTTTTTGCCCCCTCTGTTTCTGTGCACATGACCAAACACAACAAACACCTCATCTTACAACATCCTCACTCGGCATATATGACAGTTGGAGTCAAAATACTAAAATTTTAAAGCAACACTGCAGCAGTTGAGCTTTTTTTTATTTATCTGGCAACCCTGCCTGGCATGGAAACTACAACGTTTTCATGCAAATGTGTCAATAAACATTGAAAAAAACATTTCTAGAAGTCGATATTGTGTAAACGGTTACAAGAAGGTTAAACGTCTTTCTCTGCTCCTCGTTATTTCTGTCCAGGTCAGTCACAGGGATGTACGGTAGCCCTGAAAGTAAAAAAATGAAATGAAACTGGGGTGGTCAGGTTCTGTAACGACCCGGCGCGCCTTTAATGTGTGCACAGTTTGTGAACCATCGTGTTAAATCTGTGCTGAACGTCTTCCTGTTTTCAGTGTTCAGTCTGTTGAACAGCAAGTCATGAATTCACTGCAGTTAAATAATAAATCACAGGTGATCAAGTGCGTTGATAAATAATTCACGCTGTCCTGGTCGTGGCTTGTTTATCCGCTGCCTCGTCTCCGTACCTGAGAGGAGGCTTTAATCATTTCCCTGCCAAGATGTTAACGCTCTCCTTCTTCGCATCAAGCAGCGTTTAAGTGTTTTTATTCCACTCCAGAAGAAATGCGTACAGAGCTGCCAGGCCGTGATGTGATTTCTCTGAAGGAAGGAGATCAGGTTCTACTGCTGCTGAACCCCGGCCTCGTGTTGCCGTTGTGGGTTGTAATAGCTGCATTAGCTTTAGCTCGGCTAAGCTGACGCGTCACGTTTTGTTTAAAGGTGTTCATAGCTGATGGTGATGATGGTCAGCTGAGCTGTTCCCCTCCTCACGGTGAACCATGGTGGGAGTCTTAAAGTCTGGATGTAGAGCTGAGTGCTCTGATGTCACGCTGACTCAGCACTTCTCCATCTCCTTCCTGGTTGTGGTTTTTAACCATTGAAGCTCTTTGGGAACAACCTACTCGGTAAAACACGACTGTTTGCAGAAATAAGGAATTGGAAACAAATTAGAAATCTGAGCAGCTCCTCCTGTAATTGATACAACTCAGACCCTCGGAGTTCAGTTTAACTGATCACTTTCCTTGTTTTTTGGATCTGTGGAACTGGGAGTGTTTTCCTCAAGGGGAGGAGTTTAATTATCGGGGCGTCTTGTTCCTGAGTGATGGTAAGATGGAGCGGGAGATAGATCGACGGATCTGGACCTCGTCCTCGGTAATGGGGGTGTTGCTTTGGTCAGTTGTGGTGAAGAAGGAGTTGAGTTGAAAGGCAAAGCTCTGTATTTACTGGTCCGTCTCCATTCCAACCTGTTTCCCGTAACCTGTTTCTCTTGGGGTCAACCAAGGAGGGTGGCCCACCCTTTAAGCCCAGACATAAGATGTCCAACACGATTCACCCCGAGGAGGGGAAATGCTCATGAAGACTCATAAAGACGTGCAGACAGTATGTCTACAACTGATCAACCTTTGTAGTCAAACCTGTTCAAGATGGCCACCACAGCTTACTGACCTTAGAAAACACAAACATGCCTATAAATTAGTTAGTTTTAAAGATTTTGAGCTAAAATTTGATGTGGTAGTTGCTGAGAGTCGGCCCAAGCAAATACTTTGAGCAGGATAGCTTCAGACATCACACAAGATGGCGCATAATGTTATTTCTAAAGATTGACCAAAAACGTTGTCATTCCTCTGCACAAGATGATCTTGGTTTAGATCTCTGGTATGAAAGAAAGCGAGAGGTTTTCATTTCTGTCAGGAATTCTGGGCCTGGGGGTGGAAACATCATACACCGTACTTTCAAGGTGCTTTTGTGCAAAGGGAACAGGACGACGGCACTATATTGAAGGGAGGATGGATGGAGTCGTGTGTCGTGAGATTTTATCCAACAACCTCCTTCCCTCAATAAGAGCATTGAAGACGGGTCGTGGCCGGGTCTTCCAGCATGACATTGACCCGAAACACAGCCAGGACAACTAAGGAGTGGCTCTGTAAGAAGCATTTCAAGGTCCTGGAGTGGCCTGGCCAGTCCAGGACCTGAACCCAACAGAAAATCTTTGGAGGGAGCTGAAACTCAATGCTGCCCAGTGACAGCCCCGAAACCTGAAAGACCTGGAGAAGCTCTGTGTGGAGGCGTGGGCCAGAATCCACTGCAGTGTGTCCAAACCTGGTCCAGAACTACAGGAAACATCTGACCTCTGTAACGGCAAACAAATGTTTCTGTACCAAATATTAAGTTCTGTTAAATACTTATTTCATGCAATGAAATGCAAATTATTTATTCACACAAAGTGAGTTCCTGGATTTTTGTTCTTGTTTTGTTTTAGATTCCCTCTCTCACAGTCGAAGTGTACCTATGATAAAACTTACAGACCCCTCTATTCTTTGTAGGTGGGAAAATTTGCTAAATCGTCAGTGTCATCATCAGGTCAAATTATTTTCTCCACCGTTTAGAGCTTTACTTCCTGACATCACTTCAGACAAAAAAAAAAAAAAGTTTTTCAAACCAGCCCCGTCGTAAAGAACACCAACAAGGCCAGGGGATAAATGGCTGTAACAAACTACAGATCATTTTGAAGCTTTTCAAATGGAGAAATAAAAAACACTGAAAATGTCCTGATTCATTTTGCCTGCAGGGGTCACACGTGGTGATTTAACATCTGGGTGGAAAAACATCGGCAAGCTGCTGGAGTGAAAACAGTTGGTCTCAAACAAACTTTCTCCAAACTGTTGAAGTTTCTGTCAGTTTAAACTCAAATCAGACTTTTTTATGTTTTACTTGATGTTTTTTCTCACTGTTGATCATGGTTCGTGTTTTGTAAATGTGCACTCAGAGTTTAAAGCACGAAGCGTGTTTGTTGTTTGTTGCCCGGTCGCTTCAGTCTCCGGATGTTTTCTGACTGTTGTTCTGGCAGCTTCCAGGCTTCTGGTTGCTTCACGCTTCCACCCTCAGCATATCAAACAGTGGAAGAAGTAGGTCACATTTCTCCTCCCTTCTATCACTTTATCCCTCTTTGTCTCAGTCTCCACACCTTCATCCTCTTTCTTTTCCTCTTCCTCTCCATCTCTCCCTGGTGTGATACCAGGGCGAGATGCATTCCTTCAAGGAATGTTCAGTTTTTAATTTATATCTCTGTTCACTGGCTAACAGCGCGTGGAGGGGGTCTGGTTAGATGACCTCAAGGTTCTGTCTCTGCTGTTTGCAGATGATGTGGTCTTCTCATTGCTGTGATCTCCAGCTCTCACTGGAGCAGTTCACAGCTGGGATGAGGATCAGCACCTCCAAATTTGAGGCCGTGGTCCTCAGTCAGAAGAGTGGACCGTCCTCTGTGGGTTGGGAGTGAGGCGTTGCCTCAAGTGGAGGAGTTCCAGGTATCTCAGGATTTGTTTATGAGTGAGGGAAGAATGGAGCGTGAGAACACCAGACCGATTGGTTCAGTTTCTGCAGTGTTGTGGACTTTGTGCCGGTCCGTTGTGGTGAAGAGGAAGGGTTTACCTGTCGGTCTACATTTCTACCTTCACCTATGGGCTGTGCAGTGACAGAAATAATTTAATTACGTATACAAACTGTTGAAATGAGTTTTCTCCACTGGATGGCTGGACTCTCCCTTAGAGAGAGGGTGAGAAGTTCAGTTCTCCAGGGTAGACTTGGAGTAGAGCTTCTGCTCCTCCACATCCAGAGGAGACAGTTGAGGGTATCTGGTAAGGATGCTGCCTGGACGTCTCCCATTGGAGGTGTTCCATGTATGTCCAACTGGGAGGAGACCCCAGGGAAGACCCAGGACACGCTGGAGAGACTACATCATTGGAACACCTTGGAGTCCTCCCAGAAGAGCTGGAAGAGGTGGCTGAGGAGAGAGATGTCTGGACCTCCCTGCTCAAGATGCTGCCCCTGAGACCTGACTTGAGAACACGAAAAAGATGATGGATGGATGGATGGATGGATGGGTGGGTTACCTTTTGTTTTCTTCCCTCACCTCTCTCATCATCATCATCCTCACTACTTGAGGACGGATCATGCATGGAGCTCCAATCGAAGGATGCTGGTCTGTTTAAATAACGGCAGCAGCAGATGAACCACCTCACCAAGCTTCTTGATGACAGTCTTGTAGTCCATTTCAGCCTCGTACCGATCCACCATCTGGTCCCTGGCATCCTTTGACAAATTTTTGTTATGTGGTCTTCTTCATAGTGGTGAACCACAAACCAGTGCTGTGGGACAGCTGGGCATCGTGCACGTAGTGAGCGGAGTGTTGGAGTGGCTGTAACTAATCGAGTTATTTATTGATAGTCAACACAACTTGTATTATTTGTCGCAGCGGAGAGACGAGAGAAGAGAGACAAGAGAAGAGAGACAAGAGAAGAGAGACAAGAGACAAGAGACAAGAGAAGAGAGAAGAGAGACGAGAGACGAACCGCTGCACAAGTTTGAGATTAAAGAGAAAATTTGCTCCAGAGCCTCAGAGTTGGTTTGAAAGGAACGTTTGAAGTCTCGTTGAAGCCTTTCCACAGAAACGGATCAGTAACTGGGAGGCTTTGTTCTACACACACACACACACACACACACACACACACACACACACACACAC